ATACTTAATAAACACTTCAGGTAAAACACACATTTTGTGTAATTCTATAAATAAAGTGAACTATTATTTCTATACCTGTTACACAGGCCTGGATTGGCTAATTGGGAGCACCGGGAAAGTTTTTTGGCCGCGAGGGCCGGTGTCCCTAGCTGCTTGCACTCTCAGCAGTCGCACTTTTTTCATTTATTTATTTGACCATAGCCTCACTCTTTTTATTTATTTTCTCGCAGGCAGCAAAACGCAGCCGGCAGGTTAATGATGATCATTTAGCATTCGACCTTAAACAGCGGCACCTTAGTGAAAAAAAGAATTTGAATAATTAATATTAATGAATATTACACCTGCTCAATGAAAATCAGATGATTCACTACATTAATAAATCTGACATAACTTGATCAGAAATATAAAAAAGGGGTGAAAAAGATTAAGCCTTCAATAGAAAGTAATACTGTGGTTAAAAGAGTCTTGCAGATACCAGCGCAATACTTATTTATTCTTCCAAACTCACCAACATAACAGCTACATTGTGGTCCAGTGGTCAGCATGTTGTGTTGTGATGCTGCTGCTCTAACCTCTCCTGAGTAAAGTGTTATTTTTATTATTATTATTTCATTTTTAGTGTTAGGAGGACAATATAATACTGTTTGGGTTACTTATGTGGGTGTACATATTTTATTTAGATTTTTTTGTGTGACCACCGTTACAAAAGACCGCATATCTATAAATAATTTTGCACAGAATATATTGTCAGATATTGCAGGAAGGGACAATGTGATGTTTAAAGTATAGCTTTGGAGATTTAGCTCTACTTTAATCTTCTCATATTTATGAAAAACATTTGAAGTTCTAATGCAGCTGTTTCCTTGAAAAAGACGTGATAGTGTCTTTAGAAACTGAATTGCAAATGACCTTATTTTAATATAGTCAGTCGTGAACAGAGGTGGGCCGGTCAAAGGCTTGAAACTCCAGGGCTGAAAAGAAGTCCCACTCCTGCCCTGCTGTTACAGTAACGGGCTGAATATGCTGTCATAGCCTGAAAAGCCAATGTTATCTGGCCTTTGTTACTTTCGTCCAGTGTTACTTTCGTCCCCGCTCTCCCCCACTATAAGGCACACAGAATCATTTATCGTGTACAGACATGAACAGTCATATAGGGGTTTCACTGTCACATTTCTGTCAAAAACAGTGAAAAGTTCAGGCTGATTTATACTTCTGCAACAAGTTATCACCGTGACCTATGGCACATGCCTTGCGTGAAGCCATGCACTTAAACTTCTGTGTTCTGTTAGTGTTGCTCTCCAATAACACTTCCAAAATGCTAGCTGGCAGCAGGTTTTCAATGTTCCTTTGTGTTGAGTTTCTTCTTGTTAATGCAACATACTGTAGCTCAAACTCACTCATTCATAGTCGGGAACCAGGGAATGTGCAACAACTTTAATCATAAGGCAAACACAAAACAAAAGTTTCCATATGGAGCTCCTTCACCGGATTCAACACCTGTAAATACTCTCCTGTAGCTCTCAGCCCTGACCACACATCTCAGCTCTACCAAGCTGACCATTCAAAGAGTTTGCGATACGCATTGTCGTGATATATAGTTTTATTTTTTGAGAGGTCAGCGTCAGTGTCCATACTCCATACACGTAAACTTGATGCAGAAGTATAAATCAGCTTTAAAACGCATATGTGTGTGTGTCTGTGTGCGCACAGGAACTTTGTAATGACATTGTGTGTGACTCATCATTGCAGAAAGGCTTGAATTAACTCCACATTATGAAGTAATTCAAATACATTATGAAAAGTGCTTGACTACCGTTCTCTTACAGTATTTTTCAATCATTTTGCCACAAATTGCAGAACCCTGATGTCAATTTTCAAAACTCTGGACACAAAACACTTAACAGTCACTACTTTTAACACAAACTCTCCAGTGTTCAAAACTCTGCATGCTGCATTCATTTCCTTAAGGAAGTCTTGCATTTGCAGGATCATTGGTTCACATAATCCTATTATCATACAAATACTACAGGAACACTACTTTAGATCACCAGCACACAAAATGCACATCGTTTCAATAAACAATCATTAACAATCATTAAATATTGTTGTTTAAATATATGATACAGGTTTCATGATGGTTTATATATAAGTGTAGAGGGAACAGTGCAGACAGTGGATATACTGATCTAGTTTTATTCATTCCATCATAATGTAGGTTTACTGTAATGTTTTCCTTACTGCACATCCCCATATAGAAAGCTGATATATGGCAACATGTGCAGATTACATTATTATAACATGTCATAATAGTCAATAATTTGTCAAAATAGTGCAAAAATCGTCGAGGCAGTGGTACAGTAGGTAGTGCTGTCGCCTCACAGCAAGAAGGTTGCTGGGTCGCTGGTTCGAACCTCAGCTCAGTTGGCGTTTCTGTGTGGAGTTTGCATGTCCTTCCTGCCTTTGCGTGGGTTTCCTCCCAGTGCTCCGGTTTCCCCCACAGTCCAAAGACATGTGGTACAGGTGAATTGGCTAGGCTAAATTGTCTGTAGTGTATGAGTGTGTGTGTGGATGTTTCCCAGAGATGTGTTGTGGCTGGAAGGGCATCCGCTGCGTAAAAACTTGCTGGATAAGTTGGCGGTTCATTCTGCTGTGGCGACCCCGGATTAATAAAGGGACCAAGCCGACAAGTAAATGAATGAATGAGTGCAAAAATCACTGTTTACATTTTTTTCAGCCATATCATACACACACACACACACACACACACACACACACACACACACACACACACACACACACACACACACAATGAATACACATTTAAATACATATGTTTGTGTGTTTTTGTTTCTCTGCTGAAGCACCGCAGAAAAATTATGTTAGGGTCTCATTTTGACCAGCACCAACTCTGGTTAGTGGGTTCCCACTTAGGAAGAGGTCAAATTTCATTTTTACTGTTGATCATCAGTTGGCACCATTAAATCCTTTACATTGCCCCGTACAAAAGCGTGTCTGACTTTTATATGGAGTTCTGTGGAGTAAAACTGCAATTTATAGAGTGCATGCATAAGTACACTTACTATGTTTACTATGTTCTGACAGCTGAGGTGCCTATTTTGTATTTTCTCCTACACATCAATATATGTGTGTAAAAGTCTCTCTTACAACCTCACACACTCACTAAACACCAAATAAAAGCAAGAAATCAAGCTTTTTTGAACTGTAACTGATGATCACCAGTAAAAATCACAAATCTTACCTCTTCCCAACAGGAAAAACCACCAACAATCAAGAATGCATAATTATACGCTGTCATGACGTTGCATTTTTAAAATAATGGAAATCATTTGGGCAAAAACAGCCATGAACACAATGAAAGGGTGGTAAATTTGCTCAGAGTGTATTGTTGAGTTTTTAAAAAATTCTAAAAGTATTTTCCCAAAATATGTGTCAACAAGATTTGTCACCAAAAATCATCCCATTTGCTGAACCACAAAGAAAGTTGTTGGTAAATTAAGCCTCAAAATCAGCCCAGAGTGGACCAAAACTTCACCAACAGCACAGAAGGGTTAAACACCCCCAAATCCTTGATGGGATGGTTCTAAGAGGCAGTGCTCACTTCTGGACAGAGGGGCAAGTGTACCAAGTGTAAGTGGAGAGGTAAAGGCTGATTTATACTTCTGCGTCAAACGCTGGCGTATGCTACGGCGTTGGCGCATAGCCCTTCGCCGTGGCCGTCGCTGACGTGCACCTCTCAAAAATTGTAACTACATGTCGCAATGACTCGTAGCGCAAGCTCTGTGATTGGTCGGCTTGGTAGCGCTGACGAGTCTGGGCGGGGCCGAGAGCCGCGCGAATGGCGCGAGCGATTGTTTACAAGTGTGGAGTCCCGTGAAGGAGCTCCGGATGGAAAGTTTTGTTTTGTGTTTACCTCATAGTTAAAGTTGTTGCACATCTGCCGGTTCCTGCCTCAAAATGAGCGAGTTTGAGCCACTTGTACATCCCGGAAGTGTTCAGGAAAAGCAAAAAAGCAGTGAAGAAACTCGACACAGAGGAACATTTACACCTCACTGCCAACTAGCGTTTCGGAAGTGTTAATGCAGACCAACAGAGACAGTGCGCAGAAGTATAAATGCACAGCCACGCGCGTTGCATGCGCTGTGGGTTACGCCGGTCACTTGACGCAGAAGTATAAATCAGGCTTAAGAGAGGTGTGACGTGGGCTCTCTTGGGATCATTGAAGACCAGATGAGCTGCAACATTTTGTTTGGCCAGGATTGATTAGATGAGCATGTCATCGGTGTAAATCAGAGATGCCCAAACTAGGGCCCGTGGGCCAAAGTGGATCTACGGTAACCTTTGATTTGGCCCTCCATCCCATCTGAGAAGAGAGGGAGAATGATGGGGAGTTTTTGGGAAAAGTCTTTAACAGAGATTGTCATTTCTAATACAACATAACTTTGTTTTTTAACTGTTGAGATACAAAAATAAACAAACTGAAATTAAACGTTTCAATGAAATGTTGTGAATGAATCAAATTAAATAATAGTCACTTGAAGGAGAGCAGACATTACAGAAGACATCAGCAAGCGAAGGCAAAGTGTATTTTAAGTGTTATAAATGGGATTGTTCATGTTTTATTGTAAGACTTTCATTCATTATAAAATGTATAATTATTAATACAATTAAAGAATTTTAAATGTTGTAAATTACAGTATTCAGTGAATCATGTAAATTATATAATGAATAATAATAATTTTACAGTTTGGTAAATTTACCTCCAGCCCACCACCCTCAGACGAGTTTAGTTTTTGGCCTTTCATAAGAAAAAGTTTCCCTGAAGCACCTCTGAAATAGACTTTAACTAAAAGTTTTAGATTGTGAGCAGGACAGCACACTGGTTCTCCCGCAGCATGTTTGTTCATCATTTCTATCTTAATGTGTTGATCATTTTCTTTTGTGTTTCTGTATTGTGTGAAGGTCAACCAGTCCACAGTTTATGCTGCTATAATCTTTATTCAGTTTTATTCATAAACTATGTACAATATATACACTGTGCTCACGTCGGCTCCAGGTCTCTTGGGTGAAGGTCTCTCAGTGACGTGGTCTCTTCTGGTCGTTGTGCGTCTCTGGTGGAGATGGGGAGCGGGAACGTTTCCCTCTGGCGTCCTGGACTGAAGATGCTGCACTAGCTGAGGTAGAGGAGGGCAGTGGCTTGGTCTGGCAGAAGGAAGGCCTCTTTTTCTTCCCAGCAGCATAGGCCTCACTGAACAGATCAAGTGCAAACACACACAAGCAGACATAATGTGAGATTTTCACAAACAATAGAACATGCTGCAATGCCAAGTACAGTTTACTCACGCGTCTATGATGGGAATGACGTATTTGCCGCTGCCGTCCATCATGACTCCCTTTCGGTTTGGGTCGTCCACCTCCAACAGGAAGCTGCGGGGAATCCCTGTGCTCCTCCGGATGCGCTTGTGCGGAGCAGAGCTGCTGCCCTGTGAATTCATGAGTGACAGTCAAACGACAGAGCAAACAATCTGACTGATGGAGACAAGAGCTCAAGTTCACAGCAACCATAAGCTTAGAAAACCCAGTTACCCCTTTAGAGGGGCAGTGCCTAATGTGGTGTCCTGGGATCCCACAGTGAAAGCAGACATAGTTGGGTGGAAGAAGCCCAAGCAGTGTCATGGCCTCACTGATGAACATCAGAACCATGAGAATCAGCTCTAACATTTCTCACAAACCAAACCTGTCAGTGTCTGAACGCTCACCTGCTGGAGTAGTAGCACAGACTGGACTGGTACATCACCGCTTTTAGCTTGTCCTCCTCTGATGCCTTTGCCTCAGCCAGATTCTCAGTCTGTTTCACAGGCATTTGCACATTAGAATTTTATTTTACTGGTCTGCCTAAGAAGCTGTGTGTGTGTGTGTGTGTGTGTGTGTGTTTTTTTTTACACAGTGTATTGATATTCTGCACTACATGTCATTATGACGCCTCAAATGCAAACACTGCAGTTCAATACAGAGCAGCACAGTGAATTAATCATTTGTTCAATACCTTCAACAGCTGCTCCAGTGAGAGGAGTGAAGAATCACCTGTTTGAGAAGATTTTGCAGATGGTCCAGCTTGATGTCTGCAAAACAAAACAAAGGAGCTTGTGTGACTAAAACACCACAGACAGACTCAAACTCTTGATATAACATCTATCAGAGGACGATTGCACTCATTTCACATGACTTACCCAACAAATCTTCTGTTGGAGGACTTCAGTCCAGCAGCAGGGACCCGTCTGATGATGACCGATGTGTTTTTAGGGATGAGAGCATCATCATCTGTGTATTCTGACAGCAAAATAAAGTTTGAATATAGTAATAATCATTTACCATGGTATACTTTGAGTGCCATTAGCATTTTAAAACACTCAAATCATCACTATGTGTCATCATCAGAGTCATGATAACACATCACAGCTTCTACAAGTCTGTCTGATAACACATCTAATGTTAGTGTAATATAGTTTAAGTGGCTTTTCCTCATCTCACCTTCATCAGTTTGGGCTTTGCTGATCTTCAGCTGGCAGAACTTCAGCCTCTCGCGCCTCATGATCTGCCGCTTCAGCTCTCCCGCAGTGATGTTGAGGCCCTCAAACTGGAGCGAGTCGTAGGTGAGTCGACTCTGAAACCTGTAATGAACACAAGACATACTGAATACAAACCACAGTGTGATAAAAAGGGTCAAACCTGAATGATGGGAGAAGCAGACGATCAATCGATGTATCCAACAATCAATAATCTGGGAATCAGTTGCCACGAAGGACGCCGAGATCAGATGCCAATGACAGAGAGAAGTTCAAAACAACACAAAAAGAACCGTTGCCATGGATGCTGACGATCACGTGACGAGGCGCTAAAAACTTCCGCGTTATTTTCTCATTAATAATAGTGAAATCATTACAATGATAATAATTAAATAAACAGCAGAACAGTTGGCCATCTCTGAATAATACACAGTGGCGTTTCCTTACACGAATGGTTCAGGACTCTGTATAGAGTCGGGCGAGTCACTGAATCAGTGATTCGTGGCTGAATGAATCACTTAAAGCTTCACTCGATTAAAGAGGTCTCTTGCTGCCACCTATTGGCGATTTGTTTTTCCGTTTTAAAGTAATTTAACACTTTTTAAAAACACCTTTAAATGTATTTTCTACAAATGTTCATCTCTGTATGTTAAAATGATTTAAAACTCTCTAAGCTCATCATTTATTTGTTTGCCCTTGATCTTCATTATGTGTTACAGTTTTTTTTCCAATTGTTTTGCCACAAATTTCAGAACCCTGATGTCAATTAAAAAAACTCTAGACACAAAACCCTAAACAGTCACTACTTTTAACACTCTCCAGTGTTCTGCATACAGCATTCATTCCCTTAAAGAAGTCTTGCATTTGCAGGATCATTGATTCACATAATCCTTTTATAATACAAATACTACAGGAACACTACTTTAGATCACCAGCAGCACACAAGATGTACATCGCTTCAATAAACAATCATTAACAATCATTAAATATTGTTGTTTAAAATATATGATACAGGTTTCATTATGGCCTATAAGTGTAAAGGGAAACAGTGCAGACAGTGGATATACTGAACTAGTTTTATTCATTCCATCAAAATGTAGGTTTACTGTATTTTTTTCTCACTTCACGTCCCCATATAGAAAGCTGATAAATGGCATGATATATGGTCCCATCTGCAAATTACATTTTTATAAAGGGTCATAATAGTCAATAATTTGTTAAAATAGTGAAAAAATCATTATTTATATTTTTTTCAACCATATCATATATATATATATATATATATATATATATATATATATATATATATATATATATATATATATATATATATATATATATATATATATATATTTGTAGGGGTAAAATATATAACATAATGGATCATATATATACGTAACATATATGTACATATTTGTAATTCTAATATTTTAACAAATGGCAATATTTTGACATGTATAACATATTTTATATATGTAAAATTCATATGAACTATTATGTCACATATGTAATTTGCATATATTTCTATATATCAGATTTCTATTTAGGGATTTTGTCTTACCATCAGTCTGGTCTTGTGGATTTGGTCACGGGTTCTCCTCTACATTTCAGTGGTGTTTTCATTACTCAGAAATCTTGGAAAGAACCTTCTGTCAATGTAAATCCAGGCCTGACATTGGTCTGCTGTGATTGGGCTTTCTTACAGTGATGTCAAATATATAAACATTGTCTGTAAAAGTGGTACACAGAACAAAGAAATCATAAATATGGACTAAGGATGAATAAAGATGACATCTATAGATAATGTAGTGCAGTTGGGTCATCTTCTGTGGTAACTGATGTCATTTGATCTATCCTGATTATTTCATCATCTAAACATGTAATATTGTACATCAGTTTCCCCACATCAACAATAATGCAGCAGTTATTCATCATTTGGAGTGCTTGTATCAGTTGATAATAACATCACGTGAAGTAAATGAATACATGGTTATTTCAAATGTAATGTTTGAGTTGCATTTTGAAATGGGATCAATTTGAAGTTTAATTGTGTTATATTGAAAAGGTGATCTTAGTTCAATGAATAAAGTATGTTTGACTTGTGTGTGTTGTATCCAAGCATTTGAAAAAATAGTTAAAAGTTTAGCAAAAATGTACAATTTTGGCAAAGGTTGTGAATTTTGCGTCTAGACTTTTGAAAATTGACACCAAAGTTCTGAAATTTGTGGCAAAACAATTGTAAAAACCTGTAATAAAAAAAAGAGAAAGGATAAATCTTATAGATGATGAGCACAAATCTGAAAGCATCTGTGGATCTGTCACAATCCACTCATTTATTATCATTACTGTGGGTTTCTTCCTCACAAAAATAAGCCCATGTAAGAATTGAAATATTACAAATATTTTTGATGTCTGACAATTCAAAACATGAGCTGAAAACAGAGACTGTTGTTCTGTCTTTTCATCTAGCAGCAATAATGACGACTGGAAAACTTTGTTTAGAAAGAAAATGAACTGTTTACTGAAGTTTTTGTATACTGAAGCAGGAGCAAAACTCCGAACACACACACTCTCTCACACTGAGTCAGTTGCCAATGGCTACAGGCGCGCTTTCAGTATCGCTAAGCATCATAGGAAAACTGTTCTTAAAGCAAAACAGCATATATAAATGAAAAGGTAAATAAAGTCACTTTATGACAATTACACGATAAATGGAGCATTACTCAATCACTCTTGCAGCTACATATCAATTTAAGTCATAACATCCTCCACCCCATGAACAACTGTTCATCTACTCAATCTCTAATGCATATAGCAATTGAATTGGTCTTCTCAAAACAGTCCCTGCAGATGTGCGAACAGCACATGCTCGAACTTTACCATCTCGCCCTGGAAACAAAAGTTCAATTTTTCCTAACTTCCAAGATTGCCTTGGCATGTTAGCTTCTCCAATGAGAACAATGTCCCCAATTTTCAGCTCAGTAGGTTTCTGTATGCGGCACGAATGTGCAGATTTCAGGTCTAACAGATAGTCCTTTCTCCAGCGGTTCCACAGGACGGTTATGAGTCGATTCCTGTATCTCCATCTCCGTGTCATATCCTCTTTGTTCACAGTGGGGTGATCATAGTCCGCAGGAAATGGTTTTGGTGGCAGTGAAGTTAGTCGCTCGCCAACTAGAAAGTGTGCAGGTGTAAGTGGCTGTGGGTCATCAAGTTCATTTTTGACAAAGGTAAGTGGTCTGGAGTTAAGTACAGCTTCTACTTCTGTAAGTAGTGTACACATCTCTTCAAAAGTTAGTGATGCTCTCCCAAGCACCTTTCTCAGACACGTCTTCACAGATCGAACTAACCTCTCCCAAAAGCTGCCCCACCAGGCTGCTCGCTCTACGATGAAACGCCAGGTGATGCCCTTCCCTGAGAAATATTCTAGAACTTGAGGATCTTTAATTGTTTGCCACAGCTCACTAAGATCTTGATTGGCTCTTTTGAATGTTTTGGCATTGTCTGAATAAATTGTCTTGCACAGTCCTCTTCTAGATACAAATCGCTTAAGTGCTAGCAGGAAGCTTTCTGTTGATTGGCTTGAAACCAGCTCCAAGTGCACTGCTCTGGTGACGGCACATGTGAACAATGCAATGTAGGCCTTGCATAACACACGATCATTTTTTACATACAGAGGACCTGCAAAATCAATGCCAGTCACTTCAAATGGAGGGGTCTCTACTATCCTATCTCGGGGCAAGGGGGCAGTGTCCTGTTGTGAGGGCTTTGCTTTAAATCTTTTGCACACAGCACATTTTGACAGAATAGTTTTCACAAGTTGTCGGCCTTGTAAAATCCAGTATTTACTCCTAATTTGTACTAGAGTGTCTCTTAAACCTGAATGCATTGTTAATTCATGGTTGTGCTGCACTAGCAGCTCACAGTATCTGGCCCTTTTAGGTAGAATCCATGGGTGCTTTTCCCTGTAACTGAATTTTGATTGTTGCAGTCTGCCTCCAACACAGATTAATTCATCGTCATCCAGGAAAGGTTTCAGTTCTTTTATTTTTGAGTCCGCATTTAGGCCTTTGTGAGCTTTTAGCAAAGTAATCTCATGCCTGAAGTTGCTGTCTTGTGTCACTTTTATCCAGTACTTTTCAGCCTCAAACATTTCATCTGCAGTTAACTCACCGCGTCTTTTAGAGCTTGATTTACTGTTGTGCATGAACCTCTTGATCCAAGCAGTTATTCGCAATACTCTGTTCAGTTTACTGTACTTTGCTAAATTTAACAAAGATTCCATTCCACTGTTGTCCTCGCAACTGTTAAGTTCATTTTCCTTTAGATTAGTCACAGTCTGACCTCTAGTGGGAAGGTCTGCGGGATTGTCTTTGCTCCTACAGTGTGACCACATTGCAGGGTTAGTTATAGACTGTATTTCAGCCACTCTGTTTGACACAAACTGTTTCCACTTGTAAGCTGGACTTTGAATCCACTGTAGTACGATCATAGAATCAGTCCACATGTGAAGTGATTGGGGATCCATATTCATCGGTTTTAACAAGCTGTTTCCTAGTCTTGCACCAATCACCGCACCCATAAGCTCATGACATGGCAGTGACATTTTCTTCAAAGGCGCTACCCTGGACTTGGAAGCGACAAGGCAAGTAGTCTTTGTTCCATCGTTCAGCTCTAGTAACAGGTAGGCAGCAGCACTATAGGCTCGTTCACTCGCATCACAGAACACGTGAAGTTGCTGTGCATCATGTCTGTGCTCGGATGTTATTCCATACCAGCGCGGGATGACTATGTGGTGGATCTGTGCTAGCTCTGAGCACCATTTTCTCCATTCTTTTTCAATGTCTGCAGGCAGCTCCTCATCCCAGCCGAGACCACGCGTCCACATCTCTTGAAATAGGCATTTGACTCGCACAGTGAAGGGAGTGAGGAATCCTATTGGGTCGAATATGCAAGCAGAGAGTTTCAGAATGGCTCTTTTTGTGTTCTCTCCCTTTGCTACAGCATCCAGTAATGCAGTCAAATCAAAGACAAAGTCATCTGTCTCAGTTCTACAAA